ATGTTTCATCACCTCTTCTTCCTTATCATCTACTACAACATAGGCAGGTTGACTCACTTCTTCATCCTTATCATCTACTTCATTAACACATGCAGGTTGAATCTCTACTTCATCCTCATTCAACGTATTCATATTGTTGCTTTTAAAGTACTTGCCAATATCCCCTGCTTGACTTTGAATTAATGAAATCTCAGTTCGTTTCCTTTTTCTCTTTTGAGCACCAGACTCATATTTAGGAGGCATGGTGTATGAGTCTATATCTGATGCTCAATGATTAACCTAAAAAACAAATACAAAATATCTCAAATCATCACACAGTTAGAGTTTTCAATATAGTTATTATGTGCGCCTGTGCAATTGTTGATCCTCTAATAGTCAATCATATAAGCCGACCAGGCCACAATTATATAAGCCGACAAGGCTTCAAGCATTTTCAATTTCTTCAATAACAAGTTAAGGCAAGCCATTACTTACCTGACAAGTAGAATTTTGACGAAAACTTTGGAGTTACACTTTCAAGAATTCCACTGTCACAAGCTCACAACTCCCGACCCTGAAACAAAAATTTCACATCAAACGCACCCCTAAGTAAGATAAATACATTAATAAGGAAGGATGAGGATGAGAGAGTGCAGGAAAGAAGGGAGGATGAGAAATCTCTTTTATCTTTCACTAAAGCTATTGAATTATAAGGCATAAGACGGCATTTCTGTTGAAATTTCACTAGTTTCCTACTTAATAAATAGGAATACGAGGGGTTGTCCTCTCTATAAGAGAGGAGAGATGTGAAAAAAGAAAACATGTTACTCTCCTTCATCAAAGTAAAATTCAGCAGCAACAAGTAGACATCGATACGCATTAAGAATGAACAACAATAAATCTTCGTGTTTTGTGTGTGCTTTTCTGTTTCTCGTTTTATTATTATTGCTCTCAATATTGGGATTAGAGCTTAATATTAACAATTTATGGGCCATGGCCACATGTCAAGGATACTGCTACACTTCAGTCTTTTGTTTCACAACAAAATTTAAGTGGGGGGTCTGAATATATATAGATTCAGGAAACAGAGAAAATAATACATCTCAAAAATTCTCATCTTTTAGAATAAGAATTATTACTTTTACTTAGTGAACAAGAGGCAAAACTTCGAACTCACCCATATCTGAGCAATTCCACTGCACATTTTCAAATTCAATGTCATTGTCCTCGGTCCTCCTCGTTCCCAGTAGGAGCTTCAATTACACTTAGCGCGTTCCTTTGTAGTTTTACTTCTATGCCATTGGTAAGAACCTGCGTGTTAGAGAAAACATATTTTGCGATCAAATAATAGAATAAATTCATTAATCCCTTGAAAATTCTTGTATATTTTACAGTTTGTACCTACAGATGAGTATACCCTATTCAATATTCTACTTCTCGGCACCAACAATTTCAATGTGAGTTATGAAATTATAAACAAGCATTACAAGGAAGAAAATTTTTCTGCAGAAGGCAATAACAAGCAACTCATTTTGCTAACTTAAAATCAAACTCGGATGAACATGAACTTTCAAGGAAAATGAACCAGTTGAGTCCAATTATAACCTAGAAAACTTTGTATATATCATATATGTATAGTGTATAGTATACATTCGTATTATGAGAGCCCAGAGTCGAGAGAGACAGAGAGTCCGACTGTCCGAGAGAGACATTAGAGATACCTAGGGTTGAACCGTTGAAGCCTTGAAGGTTGAACTTGGAAGCTGAAGAAGGATTCAACGAGTAAACTGTGGAGAGTGGCGACGGGAGGGTTTTCGATTTCGCCGGTTGCAATCTGATTTGGGGGAAAACGGGAATCAATTGACATTTGGGGGAAATTGAGTGTGGATAGTGGGTCGGGTTTAGTGGTTCGGGCGGGCTACTGGGTTGAGAGTTTTGGGCTAATGGGGCCTGGGCTGGGCTGCGGGCTGCATACTCTAAAAACGAAAAAAAAAAAAAAAAATTGGCCCAACAAAACGAGACCCCCTTGGATTTTGGGCCTGAGGCGCAGGCCTCATCCGCCTGGCCTCAGGACCGGGCCTGTTGCATGACCTACTTAAGCTAATTTAAATCCCCAGATAAAAAATTCTTATAATTAATTCATCTTCCTCGATCTATTGGCTAATCATATCATTGAGTGTAATACAAGCATAACGAAAATCAAATACATACATAACTTTCTTAAGGAATGAAGAATACGGAGTCTACAAGAGATATGTCACTCCCTATTTACGTGTCGGATTCTTGTATTTAACCATAGTTTTGAAAAATAATAATCGAATTCTTATAAAAACATGTCTCACGATAATAAAATCATGTGCAAGAAATGTGTTACAAACTACTTAGGATAATTCACACACATATATTCCTAATTAGATAAAGAAAACCAAAGAAATTTGCAAAATCTTCAAGTATTTTGAACTTATTATGAAATGGGGTTCATCCAAACATAGATGTAAAAATATTCACGAAAGGATAAAGCATCTTAGTCAAAAAAATTTAAAATTTCAAAATTTTTCTTTGACATAAAATTTAATTACCCAAAACATAACATGCATTTTTTCTGATTACATTTATTTTCAATTATTTACACTTAGGTAAATGGCGCATAAGAGAAAATTATAACATCTTTTAAAAGTGAAAATCTATAACGTTGAAAACCCACTTTTTTTAGGGGAATAGAAGTAATTAAGTTTCATTAGTTACGAGCAAATTGGAATAAGATTGTCTCAAGAGTAATGATTTTTAATCCCACTCGAGAGGCGACGTTAATGTAGCATTAAATGATAGGCAAAATTAAATAAGTAATTTAATTTCACATTTCATTAAATAATAGGTGACATTAAATGATAGATGGGATTAATGTGGTATTAAATTATATGTGGAATTAAATAAGCTATATGGTAAGAAATAACTACTGTTTGAATAATATAATTACTCTACAATGTAGACAACTTAACCAAGAAATATGCATATACATAAAATCCTTCTCTAGATTATGCAAATCAATTATAAATTAATCTTTGTCAAGTATAAAAGGAGACATCCCCCAAAGAACAACCCACAATCACATAATACACATCAAAAAGCAAATAAAATGACATCCAAATTATGCTTTTGCTTTCTAGTTTTGTTTCTATCCCTGCAATTCTGCACATTATCATCTGCTCAAAACCTACCAGTTATGAAACTTGCTAGTGAACTCCCAGAAAGATCTCATCCAGTTGTTATGGACGGCAAAGCAGCAAGGTAGAAGGAGGCTCATATACGTTCAAACCGGTGGATAATTATGAGTTGAAGGCCATTGTAAATGATATATACTAATGTTTAGCTATGTTTGGCTATAAATTTACTTCTATTCAAGCATTTGAGCAAGCAAGACATGAAGGTCACATTACCATCTATTGGAAGATCGATTTGATTGGGGATTTTCCATTAGCTATGATAATTCTAATTTTACTATGACAGATCCCTGGCAATCTGAATGATTTTATTTTTACTCATGTTCAAATATTTTACCAAATAATTATTTGAGTAAGGAATAATCTACGATATGATCTTTTTTTTCCCCTTTTTACTTTTTTTTTTGAAGGAAAAGATACCATCATATATTTAATCAAGTTGTTGCAAATTGATGGCGCAGTTAAAGGAGTACAATCTATTCAATGAATTAAACATCTATAACCCTAGCGGGAGATGCTAGCATGTTTCACATTATTTCCTGAATGTCGAATAAACTAACGAGTGCCATATCCGACATTTCTAAATAAGGCAACAAAATAAAATAAAATGACCGCAATATGAGCCAAACTCTACCAGTCGTCCATTTAATTGCACTACTAAAATATGTCCCATAATGTCCCGAATCATAGCTCTCAACCCATAGTCACACACTCCTACCATCGCAACTACATCTGTATTGAGCCAAACACATCTCATTCCTAGCAGATGATAAGTGTGTTTTTACACAGTTATTTAGTTTACAAACATGACATAATTAAGAGCAAAACATTGGAATTGTGATTTAATTTCGGTTAATTTGTGTATCGTAGGACGTACTGATTAACATGGTGAAATTCAGGAGAAAAGAGGCGAAAAATGACTAAATTGGAGCGAAGTGAAAGTTCAGGGACCAAAGTGCAATTATCTGAAATTTGATCCGATGGACACATCAAGCAATTGATCAAGCTAATTACCAATTGGAGATGATAATAGAACATTGGAACAACTAGAAACACGAAAGGAGGTCAAGAAGTGGAGAAACAAAGTTTGAGGACCAACATAACATAATTTGAAAGTTTGTTCTACTATGCAGTCACATAGCAGAAAACCCTATGCGGTCGCGAACACCAAGGCAGGGAATTAATACGCCAAATTTCATAAACCTATGCGGTCGCATAGGTATATTCTGGGGCCGATTGTGCAGATTCCTATTCGCGATGAAATTCTTATGGAAACCTAAAGTAAACGCAATATAAATACCCAAATTCGTCAGAAATAAAGGGAGAACGTATTGGGAGACAAGAAACTACATCTTGGAGAGGATTTTTAAGCGCAAGTAACGACGAATTGCATGAAAATTTTCAAGATTCATCAAAAATTGACAACCCGGTGATGTTTTTTTTTTTAAAATCTGATGTATTCTTATATTTTATCAATGCTAGGCTAGATTTTCATGTACTAGGAGATCGATGTACCATGTGATTTGATCTTTAATTTTCTAGTTTTACAATTTGACATTAAAAATACGTTTTGATTGTTTTGAATTATTTATATGCAATTTTTGTTCCAGCAATTAAGGGCCCTTAATTGTGTGAGTTTAGGTGGCTTATTCTTGCATTCAAGAGAATTGGAATAGGTTCGACATAATATAAATCATCGTAGGGTCTGATAGGGGATAGAAATATACCGCTATACCCTACGTGAATCTTTTAAGTGTTCACAAAATCGCATGCATTTTTATATATGCACTTGTCATAGAAATATAGGCCGGTGGTATGTAAAGATAGGTTCGATACATCTTGAGAGAGAGTATTGGATAGATTTAGGAGCATTGATTCGTCAACAATTTAAGTGTGTTGTCGCATTGTGAAATTAAGGTTTAAAGTGATAATTGTATGAGAAATTGTGATCCTAGTGCTTTTAATTTACATTGAATACAACCAATTCGCGTTCTAAACATATAATTTACATTTTAATTCATTAAAATATCATTTTGCATACTGAGTCATTCCAATCTTCAATTTTCCATAATTAAGGTTTTTCTAAGAATAAATTCTAGTTTTGACAGATTTGTTTCGGTTAAGGCTAAAATAGTTAGAATTAAACCACTCAATCTCTGTGGGACGATACTCAGAACTCAACATTCCACTTTATTACTTGTTAACGAACCGTACACTTGTGGTGGTTTAAATCGAAAGAAATATTTAGCGAATAATTTTTTGGCGCTGTTGCCGAGGATTGAGTATTCGTTTAATTTTAATTATATTGGCACTAATTCAAACATTTATCTTTACATTTTTTGTTATTGTGATGTGTTTCATTTCATTTTGATTTGTTCTGTTTAATATTTCATTTTAACATCTAAGCACTCTTTTTGACTATTTTCGCAGATTTGCATGTTAAGGTCCGCTGAAGGAGAATTGATCACAGCTGATCCAGAAATCGAACGAACTCTACATCGAAGGCAGCGAAAAAATAGAGAGGCATAGCAACAAATGGCAAACGTGCAAAATAATCCAATTTTTCAGGCCAATAAAGAAGGGGCAGCGGATGAAGGAAACATGCTCGTAGGAGATTTCATGACCCCTCAGATAATTCAAAGCCAGTCAAGCATCGTGTACCCATCGTTTGGACAGCCGAACTTCCAACTGAAGACTAATGTGATACATTTATTTCAAAATGGTCATCAATTCTATGGAAGGACCGAGGAAAATCCACATACGCATGTTTCTTGATTTCTGGAGATGTGCCAACACTTCAGATATCAAGGGATTTCAGACAATGCAATCTGATTAAGGTTGTTCCCACATACACTGCGCGACAAGGCAATTGAATGAATAGATCCGCAACCAATTACAAGCATCACTACATGGAATGATCTAGCCCAGAAATTTTACACTAAGTTCTTCCCACCTGCTAAGATTTCAAAGCTCAAACACGACATCTCTGTTTTTCGCCAAGGTAACTCGGAGAATTTCGATGAAGCCTGGAATCGGTTCAAGAATATGCTGCGAAAGTGTCCGCACCATGGAATTAGCAAAGGACTTCAGGTCCAATACTTCTATGCAAGATTACTCCCAGCATTCAAAAGCATGGTTGCATACTTCTATCCACAAAGACAACTGATGAGGCACTGAAACTTTTTAAGACCACGGCCACCATTTTAGCTATGTGGACATCGAAACGAGCAGTTCAGAAGAAGACACCGGAGGTTTATAAAGTAGACGTCTATTCCATCTTGTCAGCAAAAATTTATTCATTATTTCACAAGGTGGAAAA